AAAAAAAAACCAAACTCACTGCCATCAAGTCAGATCCAACTTATAGTGACCCCTTCTTGGGTTTCCAAAGTGGTATCACTATGGAAGTAGATTGTCCAACCTTCCTTCCAAGGAGTAGCTGGTAGGTTTGAAACAACCCCCTTCTGGTTAGCAGTCAAATGCTTTAGGCACTATGCCACCAGAGCTCCTCACTATCAAAATCTCAGACTAAAAAGAATAATAATGTTCAATATATTTCCATATATTTATTTTAATGAAAACGAACTTAATTTTAACCAATACCTCAGAACAAATATACAACCATTTACATACTATAATTACATACCTGACAACATACTAAGAAAATGAAGAGAGTTATAGCAGTCCACAGTACTTTCTCTCTAAACTGTATCTGTATAAATAAAAAAAAATCAAGATCAATCAAAACCAAGAAATAGCAAATATAAAGCAAAAGTCATATTAAATCATAACCAAGAGTCTGCTATCATGATATGCTCATATGCTATTATTTATTCTTAAGCTGTCCCTTTCACCCTAGTTAGCAGCAGCTTAAACAAAGAGCAAAACTTCTCCAAAATAATTTTCTTAACATTTCTAAAAATAACATAATTTAAATTCAGGTAGTCCTCACTCATTACAGCATGATGTTAACTGAAACTGGAATATATGCAAAATAAGACCCAGTTTAAATATGTGCCGTGCAAAGCTAGGACTGTCTGCAATACTATTAGATGGATATTTCATAGCACATGAAAAGCTCCAGTTTCTTAGGATGTCTTAAATGTAACTGGAGCAACTATTTTTATAACCTCAAAGTAATAAAGAAGAAATACACTTCTAAATGAAATAGTAAGTTTAACAAAAGCTTTACCTACCGCTATGTCTCTATTCTTGTTAGTTTCTGAGAAATCAAAATTACTGTCAAAAAGGAATGTCAGGGAACTGACCAATTTAGGATTAACAATATTTCTGGAATTTATATACCTGAGCTCCCAAAGTACACAATGATGGAAGAATCATTTGATCCAGTCACAGTATATTCTGAATGCATTCCTGTCACAGTATATTCTGAATGCATTCCTGTGATTTTTCTTTGCATTAACTGGTTCAAGGAATGAGAGATACATGCTTGCACAACCACAATTCATTTAATACAGCTGTACTCATTGAAATCTATCATTTATAGCCCAGTGGATCATATCATTACCAAGTACAATGCACGCTATACTACAGAAATCAAAAAGGATCACTATGGACTATGGGAGCTCTGGTAGCATAGTGGCTAAGGCACTTGACTGCTAACCAGATGGCTGGCGGTTCAAACCCACTAGCCACTCCTCGGAAGGAAGGTTGGGCAATCCTACTTCCGTAGTGATACTGCCTCGGAAACCCAAGGAGGGGTCGCTATGAGTCAGGTCTGACTCGACGGCACATAACAACAACAACAACATGGACTATATCTTAATTAACACACAACACTTGCTTTAGAAATGTTAGAACTTAATAGTAATTTTTGAAACCATGAGATAACCTATCTAAACTTAAACAGGTCTATACTAGTTTTATTCATTTTGTGCCTCTTACAAAAAGGATGAGCAGGAAATATTTTTCCAATTATATCCAAAAACGGGTTAAGGGGAGTAAATGAATCTTGTTTTTTTTTTAGCAGGATACCTCATTTAACAACCTTCTGTATTACTGAAACATTATACTTACTTTCCTTTCAGGTTTCTGAATTTCTGGTAGCACCGCACAGAAAGGCTTAATAACTTCTAAAAATTTGACTGTTAAAAATAAAAAGAATAAATGACTCTCTTACAAACTTTTTTTTAAAAAAGAGAGATGTATATTTTCACAGAATCAAACACAAATGCTCTCCAGCTATTAAGGACTATCAACCTCAAACCCACCCCACCCCCCAATAGTTAATTTTAAGACTCTCCATTTCAAATGAATATGTAAAGGAAGAGAAATAATTCGAGGCAGAAAAGAATCCAAAAGGTTTGAGGGTTAGTCTGTAAAAACAAAGTTAAAACATTTGCTTCCCCATGTTTTTATCCATGTATGTGTGTGTGTATGTGTGTGTAAAGGAATTACTCAAAGAGCATCATCACTAAGTCACAACAAGAGTACATGCCATCTACTATGGCACCTACACTGGCAGGATCGATTGGATGGCAACTGAACTGGACTGGAGCCACAAGACAGTGCATTATAAAATAGGAGATATCAGAGGAATAAAGGAAAATGTCATTCTCCACTGAGGAAAATACAACAGAAAATGGGCTTAAGCTGCTGAAACTACTTAAATAACCAAAAGATGCAAAAATGTTTATATAAGATCATAGAATCATTTTTCAACATATCCAATCTCTACTTCATTTGATTAAGCCATTTTAATTGCTTGGTAATTCTCCCACTTCATAATCTCAAAGTACTTGTTTATGTACAATAATCAGCCCAGAGAACAAGTACATTTCATTAGAAAGTACTGTTTTCCCAGAAAACTCTTACAGCATATAAAAGACAAAAGATAAATCAAGGTTCTGTCAGAACAGGTTAGATAGCTATCTTCTGGCATAACTTAAATCAAATCGTGCCAGAGAACTGGAGGATGAATATGACAATCTCTCAAGTGTCAGTCCTTTGCCAGGAGTCTGTAACATACAGAAACAGAAGCAGCCACAGCTAGCTATTAGATATGATCATCTACCCCTATAGGCACTTCCACAGTTAAAGTTGACTATACTGTCTTTTTATAAAACCAAAAACCAAACCTGTTGCCATCGAGTCAATTCCAACTCATAGTGACCCTACTGGACAGAGGAGAACTTCCCTACAGAGTTTTCAAGGCTGTACTCTTTATGGAAGCTGACTGCCACATCTTTCTCCTACAGAACGGGTGGGGTGGGGGTGGGGTCAAACCTCTGACCTTTTGGTTAGCAGGCCCCTGCTGTGCTTAACCACTGTGGCACCAGGGCTTCTTATGCTTTTATAAAACCTCTCAAAATGATGGCAGTCACTGCTGTTTAACAGAAGAACTCAGCAATCTCATGAGCTATTTGGAAAGTAAATTTGTACCTCTGAATTACGAAAGCATTAATCGCTAGCACAAGATGAGTATTCACATCAGGAAACTTCCCAGACTCCTTTCCCTTCCCACCTCAAATCCAGCCACTCTCTCATACTTCTTGGCATTTGTGATCATCGGTGTTGGCGTACTCCTGTTCAAGCAATGCTTCTGTCTGCCACTTGTCTATTCTTGTGCTGCAGAATTTTACCCATTATACTGTAAATGCAAGGCCAAGGGTCTCCTCTACTTCCTTTTCAAACTTCCCCAAAACGTCCAATAGTTGACCAAGAAGTGGCCTGAATATACAGTTACCCATTCATCCAGCAAACAGCTGAACAGCTAAGTAAATATATATGTTGTGTTTAGTGTTTGAAGAAAGGGCCTCAAAAGATCACCAAATTATAATAAGGTCCTAGTCCTAGATCTAAGGAGCACTTGTGGCGTAGTGCCTAAGGCAATTGACTACAAACCAGAAGGTTAGTAGTTCAAATCCACCAGCCACTCCACTGAAGGAACACTGCGTAATACTTCCGTAAAGATTTACCGCCTCGGAAACCCAAAGGGGTCACTACGAGTCGGAATCCTCTCGATGGCATTGAGTTTGGCTTTGTGTGTGTGTGTGTGTATATATATATATATATATTAAGTCCTAGGGCTTACACAACCTTACACACAGTAGCTTGCCAGAATGACTGAAATGAAAATAAAAACAAAAAAGAAATTCAATCGTTACCCTTTCCCCTAACATGTATTTCATGCATCATTTTTTTTTTTTTTTTTTGTAATGAAATAAGTCAAAGAGCTTTATTCAGCACAACTAGCATGGCAAGAAAGGGTGATAAGTTAATAGAAATATAAGCTTCCCCGATAAGCTCCTGAATAATTAAAAGTGGTCCAGGTTTACCCGTTCCTTAACTCCCCACCCCCAAAACCAATGGCCTCCCTGCGCCATCCTCCGCTCCTCGCCACCTCTACAGCACAAACCCCGGGCCTCCGTGTCACGGTCCCCCAAGTCGGCCCTGCAGGGCCTCCCACCGCTGGAGGTGCCTCAGTGGCGGCCCCTGACCCGCCCCCTGCACAGCGGCCGGAGCGGCCCGCGCATCCCGGGTCCGCAGGCTGGGCAACACCAACCTTTTTATTTGTGGGGACCAGCAGGCTAGGAGAGAACCCACTCCCCTCCCACACGCATACACGCCCACCGGACCCAGTTCCGCCCGCACAACTTACTCCCCATGGCGGCCAGAGGGGAGGGCCGGCGCGTAACAGTGGCCTCAGAGGTCCCCTCTTTCGGTCCTGCAGCTTGGGCCTGGGCGCCGGCTCCCAACGCGCTCAGGCCGGCCCCTCACAGGCTCCGCCCAGCGTCACGTGACCCACGCGGCTGCCCAGTCTTGGCCCGCCCCCAAACCTGGGCTTTGCAGCGCCTCGACCGACGTCCTTTCCATTGCCATGGTCACCGCCGGCGCTGCAGCGAGGGCGGGCCCAGGGGGCCGTCTCGCCACGCCTCCTCTGTGCCTTAGAACTGCCTGCCCAGGCCTTGAAGTTGTGTGGGTGCGGGTTGAAGGGTGTTTCAGTGGGCCTGGGGAGTTTGGAACGTGGGAAGGTCTTCGTCCTCTAAGAAGCCTTGGTGGCCCAGGCTTTTCATTTCTTGAGGCACATTTCAAAGCTCGGTATCAAGAAATGGCCGTTTCCTCTATCGCCATGTCCTACCCGGGGGGCGCCCCAAGAGGGGAGGCCGCGATCCCGGCGCGGCCAGGCGGGGGCGGCTCAGGATCCAGAGTTAATGCGACGGCCGCAGTGGCGCCCCCCGGCCGTTGGAGGAGCGCGGAGGCCATAGCATCTTCTCTTAGATTGGAGGCTGAGCCGCCCTGAGAACCAGCGTGACCGTACCGACCTTTTTCCATCTTGTAACCTTTTCGAGTTTTTTGTTGTTTTCTTAAAATTATGACACATTGTCTACAGTTAACATATTAACGTTCCCCCATCTACTAATGCTAGTTCATCTTCTCCAACATACAGAAATCGGGATTTTATGCCTCCTTCGCTTTAAGAGTTTCCTTAAGCCACTGTTTTCTGTCTCTAGCCAATATTGCCATGTACACTAGTCTTTGTTTATCCCCTCTTGGACAGGATGGTGTAAGGGAAGGCACAGACTTATAAAACGAATAGCCCTACATTTTAATTCCTCCACTACTGCTTAATAATTGTGTGGCTTTGAGCAATTAACCTTTCTGAAGGTATTACACAGGTCCCAGATACGGTGGGGGAAAATGTGGAACAAAATTGAAAATCATAACAAAAAAAAAAAAAAAAAGCCAGGCTTACTGGTGGAACCCCTGAGACTATAGCCCTTAGTCACCTTTTAAGCTAGGAATTGAACTTAACCCCCGTAGCTCAACTGTCAGCCAAAAATTGTAGGCCTATGAGGTGAATAATAACATCAGGAGGGTATGCACTCATTAGAACAATCAAGCATATGAGATCAAGAGGACTGAATTTGCCGAGGGATAGAGCTAGGAAAATGAAGGGGATGGGAAGGAAGGTGAAAAGGAAGGGGTGGTTGCATGGAGGAAGTGAGAAGAATGCTGTTACAGTGTGGGCATTGCAGTAAATGTCACAAAAGAGAATGTATGGATTGCTGAATGGAAAATTAATTTGATCTGTAAACTTTTACCCAATCACAATTAGAAAAAAAAAAAAAAATTAACCTTTCTGAGGTATAAGTGAAATAACATGGGTGTGGAAAAAAGCTAAGAAATTGATATATATAGACCCACAAACTTCATACTCACATGGCTAAACCCTTGCAATCTAATTTCTAATGTTTACTACAACATATTTCAAAGGTAACTAATTACCTATAATTGTCAAATCCAATGATCTAATGCTTTGATCTTTGTCCAAAAAGGGAGCAAAATATGCATACAAAAAATCTAGGGGATTAAAAGAAAAAAAAAAAAAAATCTAGGAGAGGGACAATTTAGGCCGGGTTTGCATCAGTCCCCATTCCACTTGGAGTTCGCTGGCATAGTTCCAAGGCTGTGGCAGAGGGCAGCTTGACTCATTTGAAGGCTGACTCACACATATCTGGTATTTGATGCTGGCTGTCAGTTAAGACCTTACCTGAAGCCGTCTGCTTTAACATCTCCAGGTATCTTCTTCATGTGGTCTGAGGCTTCCTTACAACAAAGTAGCTGGGTGCCAAAAGATGTCCTTGGAAGTGACCCAACATCATTTTATTGCCTAATCTTCCTTCCAAAGAGTGGTGGGTGGGTTGAACCACCAGTCTTCTGGTTAGCAGTCAAATGCCTTAGGCACTACGCTACCAGAGCTCCTACAAACCCACTGCCATCAAGTCATTTCCAACTCATAGCAAACCTATTAAAGAGCAAAAAACAAAACAAAACAAAAGAACTCACAGCCATGGAGCAGATCCAACCCTTTGGGTTTCTGAGGCAGTAAATCTTTACAGAAGTAGATTGCCCCATCCTCCTTCCATGGAGCAGCTGGTGGGTTTGAACCACCAACTTTCTGGTTAGCAGTCAACTGCCTCAGGTACCAAGCCACCAGAGCTCCTTATACGACAGAGTAAAACTCCATAGGGTTTCCAAGGCTGTAAATCTTTATGGAAGCTGACTGCCACATCTTTCTCCCAAGGAGCAAGCAGCTGGTGGGTTTGAACCTTTGACCTTTTGGTTAGCAGCCAAGT